AAAAATATTACAAGAAGCTTCAAAATGTCAAGAAACTATCCTGAAAACTCACTCTCGCGTAGGCAGGCAGCTTGACGTGTTGCAAGCCCTCGCAATCTCGAATTACTAATCAGACCTTATCAACGAGTGGTGGTGTCTTATCCTGGGCTGCCTTTTCTCACCAATATTTGTTAGACTGGAGCATTCGCATTCGGAGCGCTTTGGAAGGTGGGAGGATGACTGAAAGAATACCATCTTAAATGCGCACCCACTGGCTTCGTGGAAACCAAATTCTGATACCTCTGCACAGGGTAACCGTGAAGCTGGGAGATGCCCGCCCAATTCGCTTGTGCCCTAGGCATCAACTGTGCACTTCTAAGTGTTTTCAGAGATGGCACCAACTAACTGGCGTTAACCAGAAGAGTACCAGTATGGAAAAATTTTGTATTGGCTACCCTCAAACGGGCAAAAAGCTGACCGCAAGGTAGGATAACATATTTTGGCCGCTGACTCTGCACCGAAAAAGTCAAAGGTGTGAGGGCTCATCTGTCCTGAAACTATCTTGTTTTACTAACCAGGCGTATGTGTGAGCAGACGGCAAAAATCGCATAGTAAAAAATATTAAGGTCTCAGAGTCAGAATGGGAAATGCTCGCACGTCAACCTTCTCATGCTAATGTGGTTACGTTCGAAGGTCCGTCAGATGAAGGTCGGCCATCTAGCTTTCGCACTATTCGCAAGAGTAGCTGCAGAGACTAAGTTGACAAAGTTTAAGACTTTTTCTTCAAAGGACAAAGGGACCTTCTCGACAGCTACCTATTGGCGAGTCGAAATACAATACTTTAACAATTTTTACAGATACAGATACTCTCACAAAACTGTAGCAAGGATGAAAGCCTGCGAAAACTGCAATTCCTCCTAAAAAACGGAGGTGGGCTTTATTATGACACGTTGGAAGTTCTTCAAACTATTTTAGATGTAGGTACCGACCGCACTTACATCCGAAATGGATTAATTTCCAAATCAACGTTAAGGAACGAAAAAGGAAAGAAGTAATTAATGGTTGGCATCTTCTGCACTGAAATCATATCCACACAAATAAATACTCAGCGCACAAATCCCAAACAATCAGGAACCATGAATATACCATGGACGCATATGTGGCCTAAGGGGAATTTACTGGGGTAACTCCTTCAATTTAGAAAAACCACGTGCATTCCTTGTTGTGACATGCAAGATGCTTAGAGGGTTCTGCGGTGGGCTAAAACTAGGACATGGGCAATTGCAAGATTCTTTTGGGCTGTGGTCGGCCAAAAAAGCTCTTTATGCTTCTAAAGCCTCAGCACTTGGTGTAGTGGGAGCTCTGACGGGCCATTGTTCGATTGGTATTCACGCGGTAAGGTTAAGGATCACAACTGATCCTTTAATATCAGCTGTCAAGAGGATGATTTAGCAGTGGAGCCACTAACCCTAAGAAGCCCTCAGGCATTGAAATTAGCCGCATTCGTAATTTTGTAATCGACTCGCTCCGTTCTGTCCACCACGTGAGTAGTCTCTGTTCAGCTTTCGTGCTATCACAAAGGACAATCACGTAATTGTTTGGGGCAACCTCTGGACTAGTAGTAAAGAATTAAGATAGCAAGCCTAATCTTCTCACTGACAGAGGAAAACAGAAATTGAAGTTATTGTGGATCACATTAAAGAATGTATGGTTTTGGAAGAAAAATGACTAAGGGTTCGTCAATTCATTCAATTTCGGCTAGGAACTGATACTTTTTAAATGACAAAAGGTCGAGATTTATAAAAAGGCGGACTAGGAAAAGTTTGAGTTGCTCTTTGAAACGAGAATACGAGATCCACCTAAACTCAAAAACCTCAAATCAATTGAAAGGCGACCCGCATGGTTATCAGTATAAACTTTCTCTAATCACACCTCAATTTGTAATATTCATTTAAGTTATTTCTTACAATTGCCTTCGCTATTCGCTGTGAAAACAAATAAATTCCTCAGTTTTCATGTTTTGTTCATTCATAAGTGAAATTGCTTTCGAAATGTTTACAACATACTTACACAATGTATTCGTAACTTCTTCTTCTTCTTTTTTGGCGCTGTAACCGCCTAAGCGATTTTGGCCGAGTTCAGCAAAGCACGCCAGTCGTTTCTCCTCTGTGCCAACTGACGCCAATTGGAAACGCCAAGTGAAGCCAAGTCCTTCTCCACCTGATCTTTCCATCGCAGTGGGGGCCTTCCTCTTCCTCTGCTACCACCAGCGGGTTCCGAGTTAAATACTTTCAGAGCTGGAGCGTCAGTGTCCATTCGAACGACATGAACAAGCCAGTGGAGCCGCTGTATTTTAATTCGCTGCACTATGTCCATATCGTTGTAAAGCTCATACAGCCCATCGTTCCATCGTCTGCGGTACTCGCCGTCGCCAACGCGTAAAGGACCGTAAATGTTCCGCAAAATCTTTCTCTCAAACACCCCAAGAGCCGCCTCATCGGATGTTGTCATTGTCCATGCTTCTGCGCCATATACCAGCACGGGCATGATGAGTGACTTATAGAGCGTGGTTTTCGTACGTCGAGAGAGGACTTTACTCCTGAATTGCCTACTCAGTCCAAAGTAGCACTTGTTGGCAAGAGTGATTCTACGTTGGATTTCAATGCTGACATTATTATCGGTGTTAATGCTGGTTCCCAAGTAAACGAAATTCTCTACTTTCTCGAAATTGTAACTGTCAACAGTGACGTGGGTGCCAAGGCGCGAATGTGCTGACTGTTTGTTTGATGACAGGAGATACTTCGTAACTAGAATGTACATTAAAGTACCCATAAATTTTTATTATCAGCAAAAATATTTCGTACATAAATTGTAAACGTGCTTATACAGGGCTGTATAGATAAATACGACATCTAGAAGATTATGAAATAAAGTTTTGTACAATATTAGCTTATAAGATATTTGACTCATATTTACTGACTCTACTATAACTGTTATCGAAGTCGAACTGTCTTCAAGCCGTACAAGACAGTGCAATATGGTTGCGTGCTATAAGAATGTCTCATTCTCAAGGTGTGGAACAACCAAGCCTGTGCAAGGTGGGGAGCATCTCCATTTTCCCTCTTCAAGACAGACGCTGGTATCAGAAAAGGAACCAACAACCTGGTGCAAACTAGAAGAGTACCGGTGTGGAAAAGTTTTGTATTAGTGACCCTTAAACGGGCGAAAAAATGACCGCAAGGCAAGTGAAGAGAGGGGGCTGCGGCCAACGCGAATATATAACATCCTTTGTCCGCTCACTCTGCACCCACAATGTCAACGGAGTGATGACTCATCTCTAAGAAACTATCTTGAGTTGCTAGCCAGGCGTATGTGTGAGCATAAAGCAAATTTAAATAGGATGTCTCAGGAGCGGAATCGGAATTATTCGCGGGCCAACCTCCTTATGCTATTGAGGTTACGTTCGAAGGTCCATCGGATAAAAGTCAGCCATCTACCTTTCGCACCATTCGCAAGAGTGGAAGAGTCTTTCTTCGTTGAGATATATTCCGACAAGGTAAAAAATTCTTTGTTCAAAGAACAAAGAGACCTTCTCGACAGCTACTATTGGCGAGTCGAAAGACGAACCGGAATTCGAGGGGTTGCACGGAAAAAATGGGCAGAATCCTAAGTCGGATTTATTCACAATGCGGGAAATACATCGCATACCAAGCCCAAGAACTTTCGAACAATAATCTTGTCGTCCTTTCAACTAAAAATAAAGGGACCGTCTTTCACAGTTCCATATTAGGGAAACAGTAACCGACTAGGCGATGAAAACACAGTACACCTACACCAACGGTAAGTCCACAGAAACAGCGATCCATGAGATGATGACACATATAGGAAAATCAATATCCTACAAGGAATACAGTCTTTTAGCATTCTTAGACATAGAGGGCGCTTTCAACCATATTTTGCCCTCATCCGTCACAACAGCGCTGGCGGATATGGGCATGGACCTGCAACTGGTGACGATTTTAGAGCTACTGCTAATATAAAGGGTAGCTCAGGCTGATCTTGTGGGTTTATCGACGAGCAGATTTGTCAGTAGCGAGTACCGCATGGGTCTTGGTAATAAACCAACTACTCAGAGACATGGAAGAGGAGTGGGGCTACAATAATCCCATGCGGAAGATTCCCGTAAAACATTATGTGATGTTAGGCAGGCAAAACTAAAGTGGACGGACCTACTGTGGATCAGTGATGTCCTGGGCACAACGCCCATGAAAACAATGAATGTGATGCTAAACCTACTACCTACAGATATTATGGGGAGCCAACTGCGGAATCTATCCAGCTGGAAAGCGAATCGCTGCGGACATATTTTAATTCTGGAAAAGGCTAGTTTGCCGCAGTTAACGGACTACTGCGTGCCGACAACAACTATCGACAAGCGTAGCAGAGAACAATGGACCAAGGAACAAGGACATTCCGGTATGCATGGATTCTATGCAGTTCTTCACTGACGGATCCAAAATGCTTGACTGCCGAATGCTTAAGAGCAGAATCAAAAGGGTGCAATAACATCTGCATTCTCTTGGACAGTCAAGCGGCTATATAAGCTCTGGAATTGGTCACATGCAACTCGAAAACTGTAGTGATGACAGAGTAGTTCGCTCTTCACCTGGTGTGGGTGCCAGGGAACAGCGGTATGCCAGGCAATGAGATGGCGAATGAGCTTGCTAGTAAGGGGACTTCCCTTCCACTTTCAGCAGTCGAAAGATGCACACAACTGGAAAGCTGTAACACGGCAAAGCTTATGTGGCCGGAATGTGTTGTGAATAGATCGAGGCAACTCCTTATGCTGAGCAATGGAAACTTGTCTTTGGCGACGGGTCTGCTGACCAGTAATATAACTGGAGGTGGGCATGAGAATCGGGGTGCCGTTTACCGATTTCTGCAGAAGTTGCAGAGACGAGGAGGAGCCTGAATAAGTAAGACACCTACTTCGTGAATATCTCACACTGAAAAGGAGCAGACTAAGTCTCCAGGGACGCTGGAATCATTGGAAACTCGAGCAATATAGCTGGCATAAAGATAGCGGTAGCTGAAATTTGCCAATTTGAAATATTGAGATCCTTTGTGGTACCACAACGGGCCCAGTGGTGAGCATAGATGGTTTGAATCGGCAGCCACTTCAACCTAACTCGATACCCGTATATTTAACGAAATATATACGGGTAAGTCTATTTCTATAGATGATGTCAATATAAATACATGTTTATATTTGTCGGTGTTAGATTAGATTAGATTTAGAGGAGGGAGCAGGTCACCTAAATAGTTACCGCGACCGAAACGATCTATTGTAAAAAATCTCTATTCAACTACAGGTCATATTTAATCCACGTACTGCTAAGACACCTCGCGTTGTCCTTTGGCTGAATGCCATTTAGGTCGTGTGCTTCTAGGTACGGGTGGGTTGTGTTTTTTTTAATAATAACAATAGATTGGCGCTTACACATATGTTAGTGTTTGGCCGAGCTTCTCCTCCGATTTGTGGCGTGCGCCTGTTTTTCATGGCAGAAATATACTCGGAGGTTTGCCATTGCCTGCCGACGGACGACCGCTGTTAAGAAAAAACCTTTTTTCTATATTTTTTGCATGTTGCTTTGACCAGGGTTTGTACCCAGGCGTTGCGAAGTGGAAGCACGCACTGCTTACCACTACACCACAGCGGCCGACCGATATATTTTTAATGCACATAATTATCGATACATGTTATTTTCTATAAAGGAAAGTCAGTTGCTAAAATTTTTCAGACATATCCAAATGCTCCTGTTCACAGAATTTTTTCATACAGATGTTCATATGTATATGCAAACATACATACAAACTTGCATAGTTCTACTAGGTATATGTTTGCGATTTCACCTTTTAGTCACGCAGTCACGCAAAGTGGACAGTTTTTATTTACATTTGTGCATATGTTACACGCCCACACTTACCACATGTATAAAAATTTCCGTAAAATAGGTTCTTACATAAATCACACACATATTGTTAAATTATGTGCAAAATTGTATATAAAACAAAAAATATTTCCGAGTGGGTTGAAAAAACTGCGTATGCCATTAGGTAGGGTGTGGAAAAAAATATTGGGTGGTGGTTTACATGTGCAGGCATTTTTGGGTAAATACGAAATATATTTTCGATTTAATATTTAAGCTTACTTTCGTCTCTCCACATTCACACTTCCACACCACACACACAATCGTATGTACATAAAGACACAGTGGCACCTTTAACAGTTAACTCCATTGTAAACCCATTGTTTATGGATTTTATGATACGACCAATAACAGCGAAGTAATTTTATAGCCCACAAGCCGCATTAGACGCGTTAACTAAAAGCGTTTGACTAAAGAAGTGTAGCAAATTGCACGTAGTTCGAAGCTAATGGCAGTCGCTGGATGTGCGTGCGATCATTCCAACGACCTTACGCCTGTACACTTTTTACCGTATTCCCGTTTTGATGGACTCTGATAGGCGTAGTGTGGACGGCAACAGCGAGAGCTCTATGATAAGCTGCGTTAGATTTTTTTACTGTCAGACGAATTTTCACTGTTGTGATGTTGTGTACATAAGGGTGGTCCAAAATAAGTAAATTCACAATTTTAATGCTACCACCCCCTAGGATTGTTCTATATCGAAAAAATATACCCCTATTTTTTATTTTAAAAACAAAAATATTTAGAGGTCGCTCAAGGCGCTCAAAGTCTTCAATGTATTTTATATGGGGAAAAACAACTTTTCGTACAAATGGTATAGAATTCTTGAAAATCAATATTTTTCGATCGGAAAAGTCTGGTTGCCTTCAGGAGACTTCCAATAACAATACCCAATTGTTAATTTAACCGGTTTTTAAT